CAAAGCGGAAATGAATTGAGCTACAACCGGAAGTTGGGAATTACTTGTCTTTGTGATACGTACTAGCTGCGTATCAAACAAACAGACCTTAGAGCCTTCTTAAACACGCTTACAAAATTCTGCCAAAACCAAAATGTAGGAAACTTAAGGACGAAAAAAATTATGAATGGTTTATTTTTTAAAGTTTTGTCAGCTGTCAATTGGTTGCCAAATTTAGTCTCTTCACAGCAGGATTCTGCCTGTACTGAAGCAAAACCGGAAAAAAAATTGAAACAAGGTTTTGGCAGATGGGAAACCTTTTCTAAAGGCATGGTCCATCGAATAATTGCCACGATTGCAGTAAACTTGGCGTGAAATGCTTGTGTGGCAAAAAACTTTTCAACCTGACTTCGTTTGCCCGGTTGTTAAATTTATGAACGACTCGTCACAATATCGCGACGTTGATATCTGTTGTCATGGCTAGAAATTGAAGACATCATGGCGGCTAAGCATGCGCATAAAAGACAAAATACGGAGTTTAAATATGGCGGCTGCATAAGGCTTTCTGTGGGAAAAATTTTGAAAATCAGACTCAGTAATTTTCTGGAAGCGTGTACTAAAAATGCCCTCGTCTGAAATGTATTAGAAGAGTGTCCAGATCACTCACCTCCATTCTCAAACTCTTACGATTTCGCTACAATCTGTCCCAGTCGAAGAAACTTTAAACATTTTTGGTGCCCTAAGAGTCTTAAAATGGCTTATGTTGGTCAGCTAAAGCTTCTCCTGCAGCCACAACAAGGGTTGTTTTATCAATTGCCCACATCTGTTCGATCTCTTCGAAAGCCGACCTTCTAATTGAAGGCCATTTGAAGTCATAAAAGTGTGAATCCACGCTGCCAAACGACTTCCAAAAGTCCAAAAAAATTTTTTTCTTATGGGTCTTGTTCCCAGTAGAGACGTTGACCCAAAAACTAAAATTATAAGATCTGAAAACATATCAAAGAACTCTTCGATCGCCATTTTGTAAAAACAGAGTAACCTAGCCTGTTATGGACAAAACCGCTACAGGGCAGCTACTGAAGGCTCAAAGATTGACATAGATTGCAGCATTGGCGCGAAAATAATTTGACTTGAAAAACAAAATAGTAAGCTTCTTACTTGGACAAGATTTTAACAGCTTCTCAAGCAATATCTCGGAAAGAAATTAATAAAGAAGTTATCAGCGCTGCAAAATGTCTGATACACCTTCATTTGATTCATTTTTAAAATGGAAGTTGGGGATTGAAAGTGACAAGGAATATTATCTTAGCTGTGGACGTACCCTACCCTTTGCTGAAATTGTGGCATGATTTTATCAAGACACAGGAAAATGATAGAAATCACACCTATGGCAATGGCTTTGTAAAAGGTAATTTCCGACATCTTCTGATGTTTGATTTTAGTGGGATGCGCAGACGCAGTAAGGTGAAACGCAGCTCGTGTTGCGTCCGCGACATCAGCCGTTGACTGACCTCGATTTCTAGCCATGTTTAAGCCTGTCTCAGTATTGGCCATCTGGGGCAAACTCCGACCTTTTCTTCTATTTCTGGAAATAACGCATCCTTGCTGCAAGCATCTTTGCAACGATCTCAATCATTTTCAATCTATTATCTTTGTACTTAATTCGGCTTCTCGGAGCCATTGTCTTTATACCATACACGTTGTATTCGCAAAAAAACCCGACATTTGAAAACAACGACTTGAACGCTAGAGGCGACTTCAGTGTTAACCCGGCTACGTTTTATCATTCCTTAGGGATTTTAGTTCTAATAGCCCAGTAAAATTTTTGTGCACAGCCTGTGAATCAAATCTACGAAGTAAAATATTGTATCCTTCCTCGTACTAGTTTATAAGAATGAGTTTGCTAGTACCTGTATGGCTTTACACAATGATATTTTCCAGGCTCCAAAATAATCACTTTCCTAATTAACATTTCCCTTAAATCTAATGGCTTGCTCGCCCTGACAGCCCAGCCTCATGAACTAGTCCTCAACAGGTGTGAGAAGCAAATGAATGACAGAAATAAGCGACCCTGTTCCCTTATACACGTTTCTCAATGTCGTTCGCTTAGTTTAAATGTGGCATTTAAAACATTTTGTATATACTACACATTTTTCTATTTAGCCAGGGTACCAGCATAATTATTTGACAATGGTGTTCATAAGAAAATGGTTGGGTTGAAATATATCATAATGTTTTGCCAGCAGGTAACTGCATTAATCAAAAAATGTTAGAAAAAGTGCGCATTCAATGTATATCCTGAGTTGTTGCATCAAGTTGGCCAATTTTAACAAATACTCAAGCCCTTTTAAAATCTCTTATGTTAAAATTTTGTCCGAGTGAACTAGTGAAAGTCTTAGTTGATGGTCAAATGAATACTTTTTCAGATCAATAAAATGTATTGTTGTTTTTCATGGTAACCGTGATGTTGTCACAACTCCAGTTTCCAGGACAGAATTTCATAGAAGCTACCATATCAGACTTTTGAATCTCTTTCATGGGTCAATAGTAATATCGACTCAACTTTAAAACTAAATATAAAACTTAATTGATCTTTGGATTAGTTTCTGTAATGCACAAAGATATTCTAGTTCTAGCCCGTCTTCGTTGAAATCTAACTTTCGCAGCGTAAGAACCAGATGGTTGACAAATTTAGAATTTCAGTCGCAATAGTTGCCAGGATAGAGGACGGTTTAAAGACATGTACATTGATATGCAATTACAGCATAGGTCTTTGCAGCCAGAGCACTTGAAAGAGGAGAATTTAAACATCGACAAGAGTTGAAATGTGACTTTTCTTTTTAATTTTCTACGCTTATCAGAGGAGTTTGATAGTTTAGAGAAAAACCGTTGAAGTAAACAGTCATAATGGCGACACCAGGAGAAGGTATAAGAGATGTTAAGTAGGATTCTGGCACATTGTTTCAGTGACTACTGATCCCGCGTGTAAACCCTTCAATGGACCGGTGATATCTAGATCTTAACTCGAAGTCGTTTAACGTCGTTTCATTCTGTCTAAACCAAAATTAACAAACACGGGCAATAAAATATCATTTCAACCGATACAGACATCTAGGGAAGAAAACATTCTATATTCTGGACAATCCGTTCAAACGATAAGGAATGTCAACGAAAGTCTTCAGCTGCTTGAAAATACCGCTGACTAGCACGCATGTTGATATGTTGATCACTTTGCAAGTTGTGAGAATATCGTCCTTCCGTTCCACATCTCGTTAACTCTTCGAGAGCCAGTGCATAGGAATTTTTAGAAGTTGAAGGGCTGGAAAATAAACTGACTGGAACTCCGCTTTTAGGGTTGGCTATGTAAATCTATATTATATGTGACAGGGACCACTCGTCGAAGCAGGGGTGAACTTGTTGTTGAACTTTCAATGGGGCGAAACCTCTATAAACCACAAAGAATCATGGGAGTTAAGCCTTAGAAAGAGACATTTTGTATTTGATTTTTGCTGAACTTTCACACTTTTTAAGAAAAAAAAGGTAGCTCAGCATCTACAAATTTTATAATCTAAGGCCGTTACACGTTTTATGCTTATCCACCACACTGAGACAAGGGGAATCTCACTCTATGCAAAATTACGCTGTTACTTCAAGCTAACCACAAACGATTAATACAACTCAAATAGTGTCTAGCATCTAATTTTTCCTTACAGTGTCAACCTAAATCAAAAATTAAGAACACGAGAATATAGTAACTGATCACTAACTTAAGAAGCTCTTAACTGTTAAACCAATTCTCTTTGTCTGTTCCTTTGGAAATGCACAGAGAATAGTAAGGAGAAAATACATTCTAATGTCAAGCTGTTAAGTATGAGATAAGATGCTTGAGTGTAGTAATGTACTTCACATGCTCTGGACGACAGAGCTAAACAAAAAAAACTACGTCACAGTTATATGGATGACAGAGCTAAATAAAAAAATGCTACGTCACAGTTATACGGCCAATAACACGGGCTCAAGCGCTCGAGGTTAAAATTCAGCGAAATTTGCGGCAAAAAATAGGGCTGGCATTTAAAACCAAGGTATTTTGTTGTCGTTGAAGGCATTTTCCTATTTCCAGTGTTTTTAAGAAGAAAATTAAATTTGAAAATATCTAGAGGGTGTACAAAGTTTCTGGAAGTTATTCTGGAAGTTATTCTGTAAAAAAAAAAGCCGCAAGGCAAAAAACGCCTAGAATCTATAGCATAGAAAATCGAACGTGCAAACGACTCAAAATTCGTTTTCCGCGCCAAAGCGTGGCGCATACACAGACGTTATTCAGCTCTCGCTCTGGACGTCTGAGTGAATTCCGACCTTAGCATTCTTTAGCTAGCGGTTCTTGAGTGCAAAAATCCAAGTAAATATGTTTTCTTTAGAGATAATTTTTCTCCTATGTTAAATCGAGAGGAAAACGAACGACTTACTAGGCGCGAATGCTCGACACAGACGCTCTTTAGAGTACTCACAAAGATATTTGACGTAATACAGAAACGACTCAGTCTCTATAGTATATGACTAAGGAGAGGCATTTCCTAAAATCTCATCGCAACAATACCGCTCTGCTAGAAGTTTACGTTTCACCAATTCGTGACATAAGGCATCGTACAAAACTTTGTAAGTGGCTCCGGAGCCTACATTTTCTTTCCAACCCATTAACATTTTATAAGCCTTCTCTGCCAGCTCCTCATTGGCTTGATCAAAGTCATCTATTTCAGCTTCGTCGAATCCCAGTCGTCTTCCTAATTTCGTCCATTTTTTCGCAAGTTTCCTGGACAGATATTCCAACTCCTCATTTGACGGTTCCCCATCTTTAACCAAATAGATACCTGAGGATAACAACAGAGGGAGAATAAGAAATTAGAAAAGGGATGCTTCAAGGCTTTGGCGAATAGCAAACAGTTGTGGCGAAAGGCGACTTCTATTTTTTTGGTATCATTCAATACCGAATCGTCAGCCCTTGAGATTGTCAAGCTTGGGCGAGGAGACATTTGCAGAGGCAGGGAAACCATTTTCCCAACCCATACATAAAAAGAAAATAAAAACGCTTAGGAAGTTTTCCAGACTCATTATCTATTTCTGACCTCTTATTTCGCCTATGGCCCGACAAGCATCTTGAAAATGGCGGTCATTAACGTCTCTTAGCTATAGTCTCCAGCCGTTAATGCTGGAATAGGTTAATGTAGTTCAAGATACACGGGTGTTGGATTAATGATAGAGCCCACTTTTAATTCATTATTTTTTATTCTCTTATATAAGTGGGTAAAGAGGATGTCTAAGAAATATAATGCCAGTCTTTCTGCATAAACAAATTTTACCATACATAAACGCGTACCAACAACATGCAAACTTGAATAAAAAACAATTAAAAAGGAAAATCCATCGCGACATTTTTAATCTCGGTACTACCTGCAGATTGGCGTATCCTCTTCCTAGGAGCTGCAACAGGGCTGCATGACGATGATTCTGAATTTGGACGCTTTACAATTGAATGTTTCACACTTTGGGAGGAAATACCTGCAGAATAATGGGGTTAATGAGATGGCTGGCTTGAGAACTAATGCAATTTTTATGGCGCTGATGGTTCGGAAACGTTGATGTGGTGATCCTGGACTGTGATCATTCGGGTATGACCCAGCGATCACAAATTAAAGTGGTACGTTTTGTCGATTTCTCTTATAAGTAACAATGAGCATTGACAAATTTGACGATGGGGGCCGTTATATGGGAAAATATTCGATTTAAGATTTCATTTGCAAAGCAATAGCGGGTGCAAACGATTTATCACTGTCAGAGTTACTCCATCATTTTAACCATACAGCCAACGGAATAATTTCTAGAGAATTACACTTCTTTGTGTCTTTGCCAAGCCGTTTTGTGCTTTATTCGTTTTCAGCATCAAATTCCCTGCAAGGAGGGACGCACGCACCGTGGTCTGCATTGAGTTTACGGATACATAACAGATACAATAAGCCATCACTGTTGAGCGTGAGGGGGGGCACGGCCCGATCTATTAACGCATGAAGTAAGGCAGGTTATTATGACTTTCCGTTGAGAACACGTGCTTTGTCACTAAAAGCTACATTTTAAAAACCCCTAGAGCCTACATTTCTGAATTTACATATTTTAGAACAAGATGACTGGTGTTAAGTAGTTGTATTTATTCGAACGACATATTTTAGAACAAGATGACTAGTCCAGTAAATTGTATTTATTCGAACAACAACAAAACCTACAACAAAAACAACAACTTACCACTTCCTTCTTCAAAGTCAGAGGTGACAGGAATAGAAACCTAAATGGAGGAGGAAAATTTGCAATTTTTACGGGTGCGTATAAGGTGAATAGAAATGAGGAAATAAAGAAATTTACTAATTAATAAGAAAAAGGAAAAATAATTAAGAAAAAAGGCAGAGGCATAGAAAGGGACTTTAAAGCAACTGAAAAGTAAAGTAATCACAAAATCAAAATAAAAAATTTGCAAGGTCCTGCATGTTCATGTACTGTTTTCTGTGGGTAGGACATTTCTTTACCTATTCGACGTTCCTCAGATTCGTCCTTAATAAGTTTCGTGCCGCCTTAAATGACCTCATTATCTTACTCGGAAACTAGCTTTACTACTCCTAGGAGAAAGAAACCTAAAAATGGAGAACTTGCTAAAATGGCTTCTTTTCATCTTAGTAAGCGGTCTGACCACAGACAATGCACTTTGGAAGTAAGGTGAGATATTTTTATTGAGAATTTGACTGTATTTTTACTTCCTAAGAGCGGTCGTAATTATTCCAATATAAACTAAAATTTTCGCCATGACTCTTATTTCGCAAGATGATCATCTCACAACTGGAGCTTGGGCTGCCTGTGGTTAAAGCATTGCTAATCCTTTTAATTAATTGTCATCTACTGTAGTAAGGTTGGCATCAGTACTTTATTAGCTCTGGGCTAAAAGTGCATTTAATTAGCAAATCCACAAACCGTGAGATGTCACCTACTTGAGACGCTAATACCATGATAATGTTGCACAAAAGTTCCTGATTTTGGTCGCAAAACTTCACTCCTGGAACACTCTCACTTCCTAAGCAAACTTCACCACCTGTGTAATAAACTTTGTTCTCGTGGAATCTGTTAAAAATGAAATGAATTTAAATGAGGCAAACCTAACGTACACCAGCCGAGTCTTCGTCTAGAAAAGCACACGTTTTGAAATCTTTTCTTACAACCGAAAATGACAGCACATTTAACGAGAGCCCTACTGAATATTTAAAAACGAGCATTTGAAGACAATAAAGCCGAAACAAAACCAACATGTATATCTCCATGGCCCTATTGATTGATAAGAAACCTAGAAAAGCCATGGCGAAAAATGGTTCACTGACAGTTGAACAATGTACAATTTTACAATGGAAGGAATAAATCATTTCTATGTAAAACTAGCATGACGTAACCTAGAAGTATTCAAGTAAATCATATGTACTTGATGGGCCAGAAATAACTTTTATTATATTATACCTCACAAACTGCAGGGCATTTTTCTGGTCTGTGTCCTGGGGTATGATAGCCTCGGAAAGAGACACCAAAATTTTCTCCTCTCCACAGACTGGTTTAGAAGAGCAGCCTTCGTCTTTGTAGGGTACGACACATTCCGATATATTCCGTATTACATCATAATACAGTCTTTGAGGATAGCAAAAAAGTTTGAGTTTAAAACGTCCACGAACACCGGTCTCACACAAGCACGTAAAAAACCGGGCATGCTGAGGCCTAGACCTATTGCAAAGTTTTCCTACAAACTCAGTGAAGCCCGAAGTAGATTGTAAAAGTGATCTCATCAACTTGATTGGACGGAATCTATCGAAAAAGAAAAGGAAAAATCAAACACAGCCCAAGCAATCCAATGGAAACGATTATCAGCCATTGCACAGTAATCTTGAGTATATACGTACTCGAGTGGTCATTTCAATTATTGAATCTATAGTTAACTAAAAGAAATCCAGGTATGTATGACTGTACACTAAAATACGTTTGAATTTCCTCTACGTCATGCGTATTATTTTTCAAATAAAGCCGACGAGAAATACTTACCCAGAGAAATGCCTAACTTTAAATTGCACTTTCCCATCTACAAGACGTGGCGGTTCATCTAATTTATCTGTAATGTCTTTCCAGTCATGTGCTTCACATTGTAATATCCTCAGTTCACCGGGACGTAACTCTGCCAACTCTTGTTTTTCTTTACGGAAGGTGAGAGGAATCCTTATTGTTACAGGCGCGATGAGACTAACATTTTGAGAGCCTGAAATGTAAATAACTGGACCGACAAGTCCTCCCTCACCTTTTAGCTCACTGCTTGGGGATTCTTGTACCTGGATTTAAAAGCAAAACAAGTTGTTGGGCATGTTAAACCACTCCCAGCATAAAGATAATTTGCTTTACATTGTGGAAAGTGAATTTCAGGATGAAATTTTGAAATTATCTAAAATTATAGTACACAATGTAAATGTCCTTTCAAAGTTTTATGTAGTAATATAAGCATTATTATGTAAAATGTATACACTGGACTTAATATAAAAAGTCTGATTGGTCAAGAGCACTCAATCAATATACAGTAAAGAGTGAAGTTTACATATAACCCAATATCTACCGCAGATATTGCAGTTATCATGTCGAGTTCAACCTCTGCCTAGTTTCCAAGCCCTGACTGTCTGTGAAGTATTCTTAAACTTTTGCAAATTTGAAGAGATGTCTTCTTTCGTAATTTGTTTAAAAGATGTATAATAAAACAATAATTTAATTTGGTTATTGCATGATGTCATAACTCACCAAATCTTATGTCTGTGTTGTCTTCGGCTTACGTAGATAACTCAGACCTTGGTTTTGCTAATTCATCATGATATCATGCATAACTTCATCCACTAATTGCATTAATTACAAACCAATACAAACCAATTTACCTGACAGGAATGATTTCAATTTGACATTTATATCGAAGCAAAAGTCTGTTTGTTGCTTAGAATGAGTTTTCCGAAACCTAATTTTAAAAAGGGAATGCCTAGGATCCATGAGTACACATGGGGACAGTAGTACCACAAATAATTCGAAGTTACCAAAACTACTGATCAGAACTTTACCACATGTATCTTCACACACATGCAAGCACAAGCCCAACTGTCCTCTATTTTAGCTTAAAGTTGTTAATTAATATCTCTCTTTCCATGAATATTGCCACCAATTTCATGGAGTGTATGGCAAGTAACTGAGGGTACAGGTTATACTATTGCAACACCTTTGTTTTATCTCCTTGCTTTTGACAATCCCCTCACGCCAATCCTATGGCTTTCAAAACTGGAAAATGAAAAAGTTGCAGGACTCATGCATGTATATAATTTTATAGTTCCATGCACCTTGATTGTCACACAGAAATCTTGATAAACAGGAACACAACTCTGAGGAATTTGGACACTGACATCAGGAAGGTCAGGCACAATACAGGTCAATTCCGGGCCCCCTGCAGTACCTCTTGAAAAGGTGAAAGACTTAGGACGCCAGACTGCAGCAAATGAAGAAACTGCTGATTTTGTACAAACAGCTTGTGCAAATGGGAAAAGCCACTTGGGAACTGTTGAAGTTTCTGCATATAAAAATAAATGATTGGAAATGCATCCTTCAGCTGTGTTTTGAAGTCTTCAAACAATAAAGTTACCCCCCAACAGATGTCATTATGATATTTATGCTTCAAAGAATAAAGTTTGCAGCAACATGGTTATTGAGGAAAATTTTTATTATAGTGATTAAAATGCATTGGAGACTTCATGTAACATTTGTGCAATAATTACACGTACTGCTGAAAAAAAAGTTCTAAAGTTGGATTTGAAATGCCTATGAAGAAGCAAGAAGTCTACTTTGATATTATGAGTGCAGCAGGTCATGCATTGCAGGGATAGATGTCCGCATCTAAGTCATTGCACACCTACTCCTTCTCCCTTAAGTCAACTGATAAGTTCGGGTTACAAGTTGGGTTTAATTTTGGGTTAGGAGAGGGGGAGCTGCACATTTCTCAAATGCTGACATTGATGCCAGTGAAAAAGGGAGCCTAGGAATATCATGATCATTCATTAAGTTATTCACACCTGTATTTAATAAAAACATAACGTTACCTGATCCATGCCAAGTATTCTCTGTCTTTAATTCCTTCCATTCATTGTTCTCTTGGTCAGTCAGTTGCTTGATAACCACCTCATACCCCTCCAAATATGGGGCACTGTGCATCAAAGATATAGTAAAACTTACTCCTTCAAAACTTTTCTTGTAATCCAGATCTGGTGGGTCATCATGAGATATTTCAATAACACTGCTAACCAATATCTCATCACTGGCAGTGGAGGGGGAGAGGGTCCTGGGGTTCCACAATAAGCATCTACATGTAAATGGCACAGGTTGTTGTACAGCTCCACTGCAAATTTTGATAGAGGCACCAGCTTCCCTCAGGTGCCATGAGTCTTCCATACCTCCGATTTTTCCTCTGAAATGCAAAGGAAATTAATTATCTAGCATTTTAAGATATTTTTCCCAAGTGGAGTAGGCAATGACAAAGGTATTTAAAATGCAAGTGGCAAACTGGCAGTTTGAAAAACTCATTCAGATATTGACACTTAATTTCAAAACTAGATCTAATAAATGTTATTTTTCTTTATTTATCTTTTCTTTTCCATTAATTTGCTTTTCCTTGACTCAAATAGCCTCAAGTTATAATCATAAATCAAAAAATTTATTTAAATGATTCACTATCATTTTTGATAATAAGTAAGTACCCCTTTACTGATGGAAACACTGAAAAAAAATGTTGAATACCTGTAGAACATGGTAATTGAACTGGGTGGAGTAAACTTTGTTCTGAAATCATACGCGTGACATCTGAATCAAAGGATTGTGCAGCAGCATTAGACTTAGAAATCACCAGTATGATTTCAGACCAAAAGTGCATGGAAAAAGTTCAATTACCACTTCATTACATTTATTTTAAATTTGAAAATTCAGTTGCTAAATGAATAAAGATTTTTTTAAAGCCGGTAGAAATACATGTATGTTATTTATCCAGTACTGAGCTGGTGTGTAAAATGTTATAAAAGTTGTCTTTCTTTTTGTCTGCAATTTTATTGATTTCCTAAAACAATCGGTTAAATCTAATTTGTTGCTGTACTTTCGTGGAGCTTTCTCATTAGCTGGGAAATCGATGCACTTTAGTGCAAAAAATAGTGCATTTTATCGATAAATCGTGCCAATGAGAACCAATCAGATTGCAAGGATCACCAGTGATTTGAGCACGAATGTAATAAATTTTTAATAGCATTACAGTTATTAAGCATGAACTTTATTAACTAAAGATTAAAAATAAAAGAAAATAAAAGAAAATAACTGTCATTTATAAAGAGGTCCGGAGGGTTGTTCTTTAGTCAGAGCACTTTGTCAAAAGTTGCCATTAGTTAACACCTCCTAGCAACTCCAACCCTGCTCTTTACAATGGTCTGTGCATCCATGAGAAAAAAAAGCATGGGAAAGGCAAAAAACTGAGTCATTGCAGAAAAACCCATACCTTTTGATCAAAGTCTTTTCATTGTCTTCAGTGTCTACTGTTGCATCTTCTATATCTGCCAAATCTTTCCTGCCGGTGTAATAAGGTACCTCATCCTCCTCTTTGGCTGGGGAAATTATTATTTTGAGGTGTTTGGTTTCAGTATACAATATAACGGACATTTACTACCACTTAATTCCCAATATCTGTTCAACCAAAATTGTTCAACATGGGGTCTTTCCGCACTAACGAAAAAATTGTTTATTTAAAACAATTTTTTCGTCATCACTAAATTTTGACAAGTTTTGGCCAAAGCCGACAAATCGTGAAACACATCGCCGACAAATTTGTCCCAAGTAAAATCTGGACAAAATTAATTAAATAGGCAAGACCGTGATAAACTTGTCGATTAATTATCGCAAAAGCTACGAACAGCGTGTAGCTGAACTGAAATCAGTTTACTACAGAGGCAAAAATTCTCTTTTGTCGCAAAACTCTGGGATTCTAAAATTTTAAAACGGCTTTGAAAAATCCTAGAAATTGGAGGTGGAATCCTTTGGCAGACTAGGTCGAGCGGTAAGAGAATTTTTCAACTTTGAAATTTATAATGTAGATGTAACACTCAAGCAAACTTTTATCCTTTGATTTTTCCAGGACAATTTTAGGCTGGAGTCATGAAAATCGCGAAAGCTCGGATATGCATTGATTAAGAGTATAAGATAAGATTACCGTATGACTCTCCTTCTCCAGCCTTGTCCCCCACTTCTTTTCCAATTTGTAGATGACGCTCACGGTACTCGATTGCCTTACGAAAGTTGCCTAAGCTATGAAAGGCATTACCAAGACTTCCATAAGCCCGTCTCTCTCCAGCTTTATCCCCCACTTCTTTTGCTTTTTGTAGATGACGCTCGTGGTAACTGATAGCCTTATGAAAATCGCCTAAGCTATCATAGGCATTGCCAAGATTTCCATAAGCCCGTCCTTCTCCAGCTTTGTCTCCCACTTCTTTTGCAATTTGTAGATCACGCTCGTGGTAACTGAGAGCCTTATGAAAATCGCCTAAGCTATGATAGGCATTGCCAAGATTTCCATAAGCCCGTCCTTCTCCAGCTTTGTCTCCCACTTCTTTTGCAATTTGTAGATCACGCTCGTGGTAACTGATAGCCTTATGAAAATCGCCTAAGCTATCATAGGCATTACCAAGATTTGCATAAGCCCGTCCTTCTCCAGCTTTGTCTCCCACTTCTTTTGCAATTTGTAGATGACGCTTGTGGTAACTGATAGCTTTATGAAAATCGCCTAAGCTATGATAGGCATTGCCAAGATTTCCATAAGCCCCTCCTTCTCCAGCTTTGTCTCCCACTTCTTTTGCAATTTGTAGATCACGCTCGTGGTAACTGATAGCCTTATGAAAATCGCCTAAGCTATGATAGGCATTGCCAAGATTTCCATAAGCCCGTCCTTCTCCAGCTTTGTCTTCCACTTTTTTTGCAATTTGTAGATGACGCTCGTGGTAACTGATAGCCTTATGAAAATCGCCTAAGCTATGATAGGCATTGCCAAGATTTCCATAACCCCGTCCATCTCCAGCTTTGTCTCCCACTTCTTTTGCAATTTGTAGAAGACGCTCGTGGTAACTGAAAGCCTTATGAAAATCGCCTAAGCTATAATAGGCATTGCCAAGATTTCCATAAGCCTGTCCTTCTCTAGCTTTGTCTCCAACTTCTTTTGCAATTTGTAGATGACGCTCGTGGTAACTGATAGCCTTATGAAAGTCGCTTAAGCTATCATAGGCATTGCCAAGATTTCCATAAGCCCCTCCTTCTCTAGCTTTGTCTCCCACTTCTTTTGCAATTTGTAGATGACGCTCGTGGTAACTGATAGCCTTATGAAAATCGCCTAAGCTACGATAGGCATTGCCAAGATTTGCATAAGCCCCTCCTTCTCCAGCTTTGTCTCCCACTTCTTTTGCAATTTGTAGATCACGCTCGTGGTAACTGATAGCCTTATGGAAGTCGCCTAAGCTATGATAGGCATTGCCAAGATTTCCATAAGCCCGTCCTTCTGTAGCTTTGTCTCCCACTTCTTTTGCAATTTGTAGATGACGATCGTGGTAACTGATAGCCTTATGAAAATCGCCTAAGCTACGATAGGCATTGCCAAGATTTGCATAAGCCTCTCCTTCTCCAGCTTTGTCTCCCACTTCTTTTGCAATTTGTAGATGACGCTCGTGGTAACTGATAGCCTTATGAAAATCGCCTAAGCTATCATAGGCATTGCCAAGATTTCCATAAGCCCGTCCTTCTCCAGCTTTGTCTCCCACTTCTTTTGCAATTTGTAGATGACGCTCGTGGTAACTGATAGCCTTAATCGAAATCATAGGCGCCAAGATTTGCATAAGCCCTCCTTCTCCAGCTTTGTTTCCCATAATTTGTAGAAGACGCTCGTTGCCTTAGAAAATCGCCTGCTATGATAGGCATAAGATTTCCATAAGCCCGTCCTTCTCCAGCTTTGTCTCCCACTTCTTTTGCAATTTGTAGATGACGCTCGTGGTAACTGATAGCCTTATGAAAATCGCCTAAGCTATGATAGGCATTGCCAAGATTTCCATAAGCCCGTCCTTCTCCAGCTTTGTCTCCCACTTCTTTTGCAATTTGTAGATCACGCTCGTGGTAACTGATAGCCTTATGAAAATCGCCTAAGCTATCATAGGCATTGCCAAGATTTCCATAAGCCTGTCCTTCTGTAGCTTTGTCTCCCACTTCTTTTGCAATTTGTAGATGACGCTCGTGGTAACTGATAGCCTTATGAAAGTCGCTTAAGCTATCATAGGCATTGCCAAGATTTCCATAAGCCTGTCCTTCTCCAGCTTTGTCTCCCACTTCTTTTGCAATTTGTAGATGACGCTCGTGGTAACTGATAGCCTTATGAAAGTCGCTTAAGCTATCATAGGCATTGCCAAGATTTCCATAAGCCCATCCTTCTCCAGCTTTGTCTCCCACTTCTTTTGCAATTTGTAGATGACGCTCGTGGTAACTGATAGCCTTATGAAAGTCGCTTAAGCTATGATAGGCATTGCCAAGATTTCCATAAGCCCCTCCTTCTCCAGCTTTGTCTCCCACTTCTTTTGCAATTTGTAGATGACGCTCGTGGTAACTGATAGCCTTATGAAAATCGCCTAAGCTACGATAGGCATTGCCAAGATTTCCATAAGCCCGTCCTTCTCCAGCTTTGTCTCCCACTTCTTTTGCAATTTGTAGACGACGCTCGTGGTAACTGATAGCCTTATGAAAGTCGCCTAAGCCATGATAGGCATTGCCAAGATTTCCATAAGCCCGTCCTTCTCCAGCTTTGTCTCCCACTTCTTTTGCAATTTGTAGACGACGCTCGTGGTAACTGATAGCCTTATGAAAATCGCCTTAGCCATGATAGGCAAAAAAAAAGAAAAAGAAAAGAAACCCAGCCTTTGGGTGATGCCTTATCATCGGCCGTTAAGCCTTCTACACAGGAGATTGATATTGAAGTGAAACAATTTATTAAAAAATCACCCGTCGCAGTTTGAGGATAAGTGTTAACAAATGTTTTGTTCCCCCCTCCTTCTGCATTCCTACAAGCACCATAACCTAAACATAGCCACTTCTGGTAGAGAAGAGAAGGGATAAGGCAACAAGGTTCTTCTAAATGTTTTAGCATGCCTTTGGCAAAAGTGCTTCACATCACTGATGATTGGAAACAATTAAAAAGTCCCATTTATTGAGCATGACATGCAGAAACTATAGTGGGAAGCCATTGCTTAGGTTCTGCTATATGGTTACCAATGGGCCAATTACTGCCTAGTAAATTTGTTACATCTTTTTGTGACCTTGTATCTTTTTGGGGATGAAGTTATCACTTCAGAGACGTTGATATGAAGACTTAGCCAATTTGTAACTACAGAAGATAGAGAGGCATTGGACAAGTGCCTTGGCGATGATTTTAAACCTAATGATGAAGATGTCTTGGAATTTTTATATTATTCAAGTGTTTTAACCCTTTGCATCCTAACATCAGCATACTTTTTTTCCGTACTGTTCTCTATGCATATCCTATGGTGCTGACAAAGAGAATTTGTTTAACAACCAAGAGCCTCTTTAGTTCGTGATCATTTCCTTATTCTCATGATCTTAATGTTTGTTTTAGAGGGGATACTGATAGGAGAAAATGGTCACTAATCACTCTTAGAGATCAACTGGTGGAGTCCAATTCTCAAGATATTATGCTGTAAGGAAAACTTTCAGTCCCTCGAGACTAAAGCAAGCCGCCAAATTAATTAACAAGTTATTCAGAGCTGAAGAACCAACTGAAGCAGAACTGACATCCTTTGAACAACTGAAACGGTTTATAGAGTCACTGAATTGCAAATCTTTACCCATGTTTTTCTGGATCTGCACTGGTAGTGATGTGATCACTGTACGTACACAACATAGATGTGCACTTTGCTATCCTTGAAGGGTAGCATTGATGTCCTTTTGCCAGAACATGTAGACCATTGCTAAAACTTCCATCTACATATGAATCATACCCAGCACTGCTTGAGGAGTTCACTAATGTAATGAAAGAGGAGCAAGCCTGTTTTGTAGTATTGTTGAGTATGGAAGATGTGAACAATTTGAAATGAACACTCAGAATGCTTTGAAATGAATACTTTGAAATTTGCTTCTTAGTTTTTACAATTTTTTATGTTATGCATAACATTTTCACATTACTGGTATAAGGCTTTTTTTTAACACAGAATACAAGTTACTGTTGATGGCATTTTCTAAACTTTCCGAAGAAAAAAAGAATTAGGTCACAAATTTATATCTATTCAAATGTCATTACAGTTGTCACTGGCAGTTAGTTTGGTTACAAGTTAGAAAGCCTTTCGAGAGGAATGTAAAATATGCAAGTTTCATGACTACAAACTCTAAATTAAAATTTTATCCGCTGATCTCTAATATCACTAAGACTTTAAGTAGTAAGTGTAAGTGGTCATAACATAACAAGATATTAAATTGTCAGCCCTTGAAATGCGAAAACTCGGGAAAAAAGGTGACATGTCGCTTTTACTACCATTACGTATCTTCTAGGAGATCAATGCCTGAATTTTAAATTGCACTAAATACTACATTGATTTCACTGGACTACTTGTACCACCAAATAAATGCATCTACAAAAGTGAAAATGGTTCGATGATAAATCAGTGAAAATAACAGCATCCATCAAGATTACATCAAAATTCAGGAGTCATACTTGAAGTTATCATTAAGGGTCAATTATACTGGTGACAGCCGTTAAAAAATGTCATTAATTTCATTTTATACCTCCAGACAAATCGTGAAGCATGAAAATTTTCATCCTCTCTTAGTGTTCAGTGCAATTTTGAAACTATTGAAAAAAAATTATTACCATTTCATTATACAAGCTTCGAACGCAACAGCATAACTTCAGTCTTATTCACTGGTTGATCTTCACAATGTTTTATGTTGTAATTAACACAGCGTCTACATTAAACTTTCCTATGTGAGGGAGGGATAACAATGATCATGTACAAGTACTTCCATTATCATCAAAGGAAATATCAAAATAATTTTGATTAGACGCTGATAAATGTTAAATTTTGGACAAAAGCATGATACATTTAAAATATCTGACGTCTTTCTTAATAAGACGACTAAAGACAATTCTAACAGCTCAAACAGGTTTGAAGAGGAATTTTGAGACAGTGATATGGCGATAAGCATTTTTGTGTATTCCTAAAGCTTCCTGGCACAGATTTCCAATCCTACATGAACAATGCGTGATAAACGAAAGTCCCTTTCAATGGTGCTCTTTAGAGAATCAACGAACTTTGCAAAGTATTCTGCACTAAGTTGCTCCGCCATTTTGAGAGAAATATTCCGCTTACTAGCTGTTGCTCACCGGCTCAGAAAAAGTAATCGATAATCTCGATAATGATTTCTTTTTCTCACGCAACAATTTCTCATTCTGAACAGTTAATATTTAATTCTCAGTATATTGCTACATCAGTCTTTTTCTCGATTAAGGTTTTATTATTCTCGATGGGTAACTTAAAATATCGCATAACAGTTCTTCATTCTGATACAGTGATTTCCATTTCTGATGTAGTGGTGATGTAGGCTAATTTCAAATTGTTTTTACGACATAGTCTGGTAACTAATTATTAGCACCAAGCTGAGGCTAAGGGGCACTTATGTTGAAAGCAAGATCGGAGTGACTTTAAGTCGAATATGAAGTTTTGTGCCATTTCTGTGTGCAAAAATAACTAAAGGGCCTGACCTCAACTTTTCCGAGTTTCCAGGCGAAGAGAATCTAAGAAAGAAAGGAAGCGCCTTCTGTCGTCGCGCTGATAAGGAGTTCACGTCCATCAAGAACTTGTATATATGCTCCGAACACTTTGAGACTAAAAAAATCGTGAAGACACTTTCTGGAACTAAAAGGTTGGCACACGGCACGGATCCTCCACATACCCCTCAGTAAATGAGCAAAAACCCTCAGGACTTTTATACGACCGTAAACAGTCTTCATCGTAACCATCTTTTCCAACCAGATAATGGCAGCTATCGGGAATCCTGAAGTCTGGAATACCGGTGAAGTCATGAGTCCAAAACTTCAGCGAAAATGGATGGGGAAGTAGTTTTTCTCCTGGCAACGAAATCAACTCGTCGCATTGCTCTGTTTTCTTTACAAGTTCAGGAACTTTTATTTCAGCCGCGTTCTTGCAAAGCTCTAGCAGTTCTGCCCTTTTCCTACTCTTACCGTTTACAGAAATTTGAATACCCCTTTCCTTTAAGAATTTCCGTAGCTCAGGAACTTTCATATTTGTGAAGAAGGCATCATTCCCTGCCATGTTGAGACGACTCCTTTCCCCTCAGCCTCGACTTGATGCTAAAAATCAGACTTACTCGCACAAATAATTCGGAACTAGCCTATTAAAATCTCACACATCGATCACTGAAATTTGATAGGCAGTTTTGAACTCAAATCACTTTTGTCATGTCTGGCTTGCCACATTAAGGAAAGGTACGTTTTTTCTTGGGGGGCAGGGCTGGGGCCTCAGAGGGGAAGGTTATCAGTAAAAGTGAGCACCTAAAGGGGAGGGTCATACCTTTCTGTAAGCAATTCAAGCTAAGGGACACACTTTTTCCAGAATTTTTAAACGAGGTATTTTGTGATGTGCTTTCCATTTTACTTAATAGTTTAAGTTTTTCTTTTCACCTACTTTGATTTAATTTGGTGTTTTGTTATCGCTTCTATGTTACATTTCTACATTTATATGCCATGGCACATAGTTTTTTCTCAGAGGACTCGTGTCCTTTTCCATCCGTATCGAGGCGTACTAGACTCAGGTATCGTTTCTTCAGCCTCTTGCTCCTGTTGACTATCCGCTGCCCGAGTTTCTACTAGATCCAACAATGCGCTCTACCCGGTCACTGTGAGACTCTGAATTTGAGTCAGAGGCTGGCTGAAAGTTGTTCTGACTGTCCTCCACAATAGAAGTCAAAATCTTACTGCCAATATGTGCCTCACCACCCTAACTCACTCATCTATCTTTCCTTCAAATGCAATAAAGTTCAAGTTTACCTACTCTAAGGGATGGCGACTGGTTTCTGTGATAGAGATCTTCCTAGTCAATGTCATTGTAGCCCTGTTTCTTTATTTCGGCACACTTCCTTTCATTATCTGTTCGCCGCTTATCTTTTCTCATTTCAATGTCAGTTAGATGCTCAATATAATCTGCAACAAGATTTTCTGAGACAATGTATTTTTCAGAAAACTCTTTGATTGCCTTTTTATCCCCTGCTTTGAGCTTACCCTTTTGAAACATCTGTTTTATTTGAGCTCAAGGCTGATAATCATCAGGTTTGCGGCCACTCGTAGATGTTTTCGTACGTGGAGGAGGTGAAAGTCGGGAAGTTTGGTGTAATCGGGATTGGTTCGTGGAGTTTGTGTGCCTGGAGAAGGACTTACAAAGTCTCAAAGTTTATACTTCCATATTCAAACTTCAGCAATACAACGTTAATATCCCACAGTGAATGTTCGCAATTTCTTGTTTCACCTCACACACACTTAATATCGAGATATATTTACATTCAAACATTTTGCGTTCACAAGCGAAACGTTCTGAGATAACCACGGCATGGAACATACCACGAAGTAGTTAGGGGAGTGTCGCACTTTTGTCAGTCACCTTAAGGTGGGGGGTCAGGAGTTTTTTCTATTAAAAGGCCAGGGAGGGCCAACACTTTTTTTTGGAAAAATACTAAAATCCCCCAGCCACCCCCCTCCAAGAAGAAACGTACCTTAATTCTTTAAGGTCAAAGAGAGCGACATCGCACCGAGCTTCATCTTCGCGATGTAATTTCGGTATCAGGTCATT